GTGGTTCGTGGGGCTGGGGGGGGGCAGCCTGCCCCTCTTCGTCCATGACTACTTCTCGCAGGCCCATATAGCTGTGGTGGAGATCGACCCCTCCATGCTGGAGGTGGCCACACGCTGGTTCGGCTTTTCCCAGGGCGACCGGATGAGGGTGCACATCTCCGATGGCCTGGACTATGTGGCCAAGCTGGCAGCTGAAGGTACTATCTTGCCGAGCATTCTGGGTGCCCCATCGAGCCCAGTGGATGAAATGCTGGGGACCAGAGTCCTGGGCTGCTTTCACCCTCTGCTTCCCAGCCCTGCCCATCTCCTGCCATGTGTCACAAGCTCCAGCCTCTTCAGGTCTCTGCAGCTCACAGGCCTGTCCTTGCCAACGTGTGCAGGGGACATTAGATTTGCTGCCTCCCCCTGTGCTGAGGGCTGCTGCCATGGGTCTCATTTGGAAAGAGAAACCCCAGGAGAGAGAAGCAGCCATCAGATGGCAGAGGGGGTGTCTTGACCACCCCATTCGTTGCCTCCCCACCGTGTGTGGCTCATCTCTGTCCCATGAGATCACAAGTCTCTGTGTTCTCTCCTGCAGCCCCAGCCCAGTATGACGCCATCATGTTCGATGTGGACAGCAAAGACCTCACAGTGGGGATGAGCTGCCCGCCCCCAGCCTTCGTGGAAAAGCCCTTTCTGCAAAAAGTTAAAACCATCCTCAAGCCAGGAGGTAGGAGGGGAGATCCAGCTGTGTCCCTGCAGGCAGGCTGGCCAGTCCTGTGTGGGGTTTGAGTAATGGGGCTGTGCCACCGTTTCTTATCCTGCAGAATACTGGCCGTGGCCAGGATTGCTGCGTGGCATCTGCCGCTCCTGGCAGGTCCTGGATCCGGGTGTTTCAGTGGGTGTTCTGACAGCAGGGAGCAGGGTGAAGCGGGTGGCATGCAGCGCTGCTGGGTCAGGCAGGCTGAGACATCCCGGGGGGGCCAAGAAAGGTTGCGGGAAGGCAGAGGGTGTAGGCGGTACCTGGGAACAGATCACAGGAACTCAGGACCCGCGTGGTGGCAGGGATGTGGAGCTGGGCCAAGGGCACCGAGGGGATGCCAGTACTCCTCGTGCTGCCGCGGGAGCGATGTTTGCACCAGGGTAGCGCCGGTTCAGCTGCATTCCCACAGGGAGGCGGGGAGCAGGATGGTGTACACAGGCTGGTATGAACTCCCATCCTTCTCGCCCTGCTGCAGGAGTCTTTGTGCTCAACTTGGTGTGCCGTGATGCCCGGCTGAAGGAGTCTGTCCTGGCCACCCTCAGGGAGGTCTTCCCACTGCTCTACGCACGCCACATTGAAGGGGAGGTCAACGAGATCCTGTTCTGCCAGCCCAGCCCCAAGGTCCGGCAGGACCCCACAGAGCTGGGGGCACGTGCCCAGGCGCTGGAAGGGGCTCTGCGGCAGCCTGGGCGCCCCTGGGACAGCTCGTACGTGCTGGCAGACATGCTGCAGGCCGTCAAGATCCTCTGAGAGGGGCTCCAATGCCCCTTGAACGAGAGAGAGGTCCTCATGCGGGTGCTGTGGCCCCACAGCAGAGGCTTGCCCCTGGCCGGGGCCCGCTGGCC